TTCTTTTGGCTTATACATTGCTATATTAACTGACTGATGATTTACTATTTCTTATGGCTTACGTATTGATAAAATACCTTGTTATAAGTACTGTATGATGAATTACTGTTTATTATGCTTTATACGTTAATATAACGCTTTCTTTTAATTATTTGTTAATGAATTACCGTTTTTTTTGTAACACTTTTTTGTAATTATTGGCCGATGAATTATTGTCTGTAGTTTATGCGTTGATACAATACATTAGTGTAATAACTGTGTGATTTACTGTTTTGTTTAGGCTTTGATATAACTCTTCGTTGTAGTTATTTACTGAAGAATTACTGTTTTTGTGGTTTATGTGTGAATACAACCATTTTAATTACTTACTGATGAAGTATGTGTAGTACGTGTTGACATGACAATTAGTTGAATTACTTACTGATGAATTATAATTTTTGTAGTACGTGTTGACATGACAATTAGTTGAAATTTGAATTTGAAAAGATAATTCCTATATAAATGCAGTCTCTTCTTTACATGCATTTTTAAACCAAAAGGGATGAATTCTGTAAAACACTGCTTTGATTAAAATGCCCATCTAGATATATTGCTATTTTTATAAAAGAAATTTGAATTACTTGTGCACACAGTTTTACAAAATGAAGTAATTGTTAAACAGACAGTTTAATAGATTTGGTAATAGCTTTAATTAAGTCTCCGTATAATTATTACGACATGTAATATTCTACGTAACTTTTATCTATTTATTTATTCTGTTTTTGATTAAAATTGTATGAAGAATCTACACATAGTAGTATCTAGTTTATTTTATAGCAAAGCCACATTGAGCTATCTGCTGTGTCTACTTCGGGGAATCGAACTGCAAGTTTACCGTTGTAAGTACGTAAACTTACAGCTGTCCTATTGGAGAACAAGATAGTAATAAAAGTTTTATTTTGAAATTACTCTTGTAATTTCTGATATCACGTATTATTTTGTTGTCAGAGAAAAAAATACAGTTTTTTTCCCGTTTGAAAAACAGAGTAAACGTAAGAAAACTTTGAAGTAAACTAATTTGATAATAGTTTCCCTCTTCTCTCTCTCTCTATATATATATAAATGTATATAATAAAAGTCTAAACTCAGAGATTTTCGATAGATGTCAGTAACAGCTTTCAACTTAGGCTTCTATTTGACCTATTTTTGATAGCGAAAATTGAAGTAAAAACGCATAAATATGTATTTAAGTCTTTATAAAAAGATGTCAGCCAAAGTGATAAGATTGCTTGGTTTACCAAACCTTATCCTTTCCTGCTTCAAGGTAATAAATTCCCAAAGCCAACAACTTTAGCTCAAAATGTGCTTATTCATTTTAGTAATACTTTTATAATTATTTCTTGCGTGACTTAGTTTTATAAGAATGTAGCCAGAATGATCGACAAAACACTGAATTCAGAATTTTTCTTAGAGCGGATATAAATGGTGAAGGAGTGTATACATAAGTAAAAAAAAAAAGGGCTACTCAGAACGATTTGCATATTTTTACTCAGTGATATATCATCACAGATGTGAGTCATGGCGCTTCGGCAACATGTTTAACAACTGTATGTTCGTTTCGTGGCGAATGTTCGACCATTAAAGGGTGTAATGCCATCACGATAGCCATATGGCTGGTGTTGCACCACAATCTTTTATGAGGAAGGATATTCGTATAGAGAGATTGTTAAGCGATGTAGAGGCAAAAGACACAGTCTTTTAGTGAAAGAAGCCTTCAATATGTTTCATGAAAGCGGAAAACTTGCAAAACAAAACACTTAGAGTAGCAATAGTCTTCAAAGTTACGCCCAAGTAAACCCGGAACAACGTTCTCGCATGCCAAGAGTAAGCTTGGTTTTGTTCCAAAAACCTATTGTAGTAAAGTTGGACACATGTCCTAGTATAGTTGACAAAATATTAAAATATGATGTGAAAAATACAAAAGGACTCTTCGAAATTAACAACTATGTTATGAGAAAGATCGCTGAGGAAACCGAGTTCACAACAATCCTAATAATCCCATACCCGTAAAGTCCTCCGATCCTGCTCCAATGGACTTTATTTTACCACTGAAGAGTAATAATGGAATGTTTCTCGAGAATGATCTCACCGGTCTTGAATTTTGTTACAGTATAAATTAAAATGCAGAGTGATAGTACGTAACCGTGGTCATCAGAGTGAGCATAACTGACGATGGAAAAACAAGACCTTAACTGGTTATTATGAAGTACGATTAACTTTCAGTACACACGTTTATTTACTTGTGTAATCATTTTTTAAAATAAAAGAAACGTTGTATTTCCATTTAATAACCAATATAGGCTACTCGAAGTAATAATATAACCAATTTTAATAATTAATACATTAACGAAAATTTTACAACTGAATATACAAACGTGAATTCAAATTGCATATATTTTCCTAGCATAATGTTGAACATAACAAAATTGGTAGAACAAAGGGATAAGTACATGACTTTAAATAAAATTGAAGCTTCTTTTTATATTTTTCATAATAGTTTTATGTGTTTTAAAACAAAATATGCATGACCTGTCACCATATATGGAACATTTGTATTGACAGATGTCATTCAATCTTTTATATAGATATGTCCAAAGTTAATTACATAGATTATTGATTTAGTGATATATATATGGGTAGGGGGGATTCATAATCCATGGATGTGTTTTTCTGTCCACATGTTTTAATGAAAAATCTATATCGAATTTTAAATACCTTGTTCATGTTTTGCTGCTTGTTTAGCTGATATCGAGAGGATGTGTAACATATTCAGCTGCAGTGACAGCTTGATACTGGTAAATACGTGTTACATAGGGATTATGTGCCTTAGGGTCTGTAATTCTATCGGAATGATAAACTCATGTCCTTGTGGTTAAGAGGATTACTACCTATCTTATTTTCTACTAGTATGGTCGGATTTGAAATGTTTCGTCTACCAATAGAAGATTGTAGATAGTTACTCATAGTGTGTTCATTAGGAGATGAACGTGTTGTAGGAAACTTAGGAATAGACAAAGCAAAAGCTCTCAGTCTTACAAATCTTGGAAAATATCTGCAGTTTCTGGCCACCAATCTGATTAAAGATTTTTGTAACAGTAATTAAAATTTCGATATTAATTACGATTATGATGTTGTCTAAAAATACGATCTTATATATAATATATCAAAATTAAATTAGAAGTTTATAAGAGTAAGGAGTAAGGTAACAGGAAACTCGAAAGTACGAGAAATGGAGAAATCTTAACGTTTTATTTGTATTTTTTTTCAAAAATTTAGATATTCTTCTCTCAGTGTTTTTCTGGAAACTTTAAAAACTCGGAGCACGTGCAGTGAAAATATAGTCTGTCAGTTCCAGAGAATGAACATTTTAAGCGTTTAGAATAGGTTTTTTGAAATACATTGTGAGATACAGTTTTTACATTATATGAATTACGTCTTAACTAAATGTAGTGTGTTTTTTGTTGTTGTTGGAAAAAAGTTGAATATTTACTGTACCTCGATAAGGAATAAAGTACATTCTAAAATGTGAATTATAAGACCTTATGAATGAAAGTAAAGAATATATAAATGTAAGTCAGCTCCACTATATCTACCCTATCCAGTGCCTAGGAAGACTTTCGATTAACTCCTGAGCTCATGAGAGTGACTGTCATACGACAGAGATAGTAGTGGTTTAGACATTATTTATGAATGAAAGTAAAGAATATATAAATGTAAGTCAGCTCCACTATATCTACCCTATCCAGTGCCTAGGAAGACTTTCGATTAACTCCTGAGCTCATGAGAGTGACTGTCATACGACAGAGATAGTAGTGGTTTAGACATTATTTATATTATCAAATTGCATGAATCACAATTGTTATGGTGTGAACTACATTAAGTTGATAATGCAATATTTATTATTTTTATGAGTCATTTACAGATAAACAAAACTAGGATATAAATTAGTAATACAATATTATTTATTTATTCTAACACACATAAATGTTCAATTTTAATTTCAGTTGGTCAGGTATCATAAGGAGCTATTAACAATCCTGTTATTCAAGATAGGTAACATGAGATCATAGTAAGATTCCTACTATTTTAGTTCAAGATAGGTAACATGAGATCATAGTAAGATTCCTACTATTTTAGTTCAAGATAGGTAACATGGGCTGATAGTAAGAATCCTATTTTAGTTTAAATTGGGCAACATGAGCTGATAGTAAGAATCCTACTATTTTAGTGCAAGATAGGTAACATGGGCTGATAGTAAGAATCCTACTGTTTTAGTTCAAGATAGGTAACATGAGATGAAAGTAAGAATCCTACTATTTTAGTTCAAGATAGGTAACATGAGATGATAGTAAGAATCCTACTATTTTAGTTCAAGATAGGTAACATGAGCTGATAGTAAGAATCCTACTGTTTTAGTTTAAATTGGGCAACATGAGCTGATAGTAAGAATCCTACTGTTTTAGTTCAAGATAGGTAACATGAGATGATAGTAAGAATCCTACTATTTTAGTTCAAGATAGGTAACATGAGCTGATAGTTAAAATCCTATTGTTTTATTTTAAATTGGGCAACATGATATGATAGTAAGAATCCTACTATTTTAGTTCAAGTTGGGTAACATGAGATGATAGTAAGAATCCTACTGTTTTAGTTCAAGTTGGTTAACATGAGATGATAATAAGAATCTTACTGATTATATTTTTTAAAGACGTCACTTTTATAAACACTTATTCTATTTTCTAAGACACATATCTTCTAAATTAAGTGGTATTTAAAATCTTTACGAGAAGTACGATTAGTTACGTCACATATTCATTATTTTCAACTTTAAGTGTTGCTATGTTATTTTCAGAATTCTTTAAGGTTTTCCTTCCATGTTAATGTAAAACATTTCATTCCCACTGATGATATAGTTCGTGTTGTAATCACAGTTATATAAAATTGTATTTAATTCTTTTCAGGAACCTCGTCTCAAGCCGTAGAATTTTGGCCTGGTCCCGACGACTTACGTCACTGGTCGTGGAGAAGATACAAAAAATATGTAACTACAAGTCTAGACAGTTTCGGCCCCAGCATCGCTCATCTGACTCTCCAGCTTTACAACACTTCAGACACAAGTAATACTTTTTTAAGTAAAGTTTTCCTAATCTCGTAAGGAGAACTTGTTATCTTTCATGTTCATTTCCTTAGCATCTTTGTCCCAAATTATTTGAAAAGCCGATTTCTCTAAATGTTACGATAGTATCGATATAGTGTAATAAAAAAGAAGGATTCTTTGTCTCTTGTCAATACGGATTTTGCGGGGTCCTTCTTTTGTTTTTAATTTTTCTTTTAAGTCACACAAATCACTACGCTCCTTCTCTGAGTCTAATAACTAAAGAGGTACTTATTGCGCATGTGGCGCATTTTTACTTGCGTCCTTCAAATACGTTTTAATATTCGACTGTTGTGCCTTCATAGCCTCGTAATTCAAAGTCCTACTTCTATAATCGTTTCGATAATACTCTAAGTGTTCTGTCGGTGAAGATTGTTAGTGCTTTTTAAATTAATAGTATTTCTCATATTGTAATATAGGTTTTAGTAAAAACCGACACAAAAGCTATTATTATTTTTCTTTTCTACTTTTTTTTAATAGACATCCATGAGTGTTATATATGAAACGTATAAAGGTCCATTTGCTGGAGAATTTTAATATAGCTTTGTAAGTACTATTTACAATATGTCAATATTTTTTACTCTGAAGTTCATAATTAAACTGGAACTTTTAAAGTAACGGCGAGATAAAAGATCACACTTCTAAGCGGAGTAAACAAGACAAGTTTTAATGTAAAATTATTTACAATATGTAAGTTTATATCCACAGGAACGGTCCAAATATCTAAGTAAATGATTAAAACTTTCACGTTCAACTGTAATCAACGTAGCCAATAATTGGTCACGCTCCATGCTTCTTTATTATAATCATCTTTAAGGTTTCTAACTCTTCAGAATCTCTGGACTCATTTACATGATTAACGTGATGGTTAAGAACTCGAGTCAGCAAACGCTTGTAGCATTGTTTCAGATCGATTCTGTCATATCAAAACTTAGGCCTATTCTAAAGAACCACTTAAAAAGAACTTATATTCCTTTTCTCAGTTGAATACCAGATTTCCCTGTCCTCTTCTCATGTAGTGTCCTTTATTTTAAAATAGAGTTGAAAGACAAATGTCACATTTCAAAGTCCTTAAAGCAGATTTAACTTTCTTAGAGAAAGAATACTAGTAAGTATGCTTGACATTATATCTGTAATGAAGTCAGAAATTTTAATTTTGATTTAAAAAGTTGTTACGATTAACTGTTTTTAGTAAAAAAAAAAAAAAATGATACACTTTGAAATAAAAACTGTCTTTGTTGACGAACTGTTAAAGTAGACATTTTTTGAACGATTTATCGCAAGAATAAGATACTTGTTTAATAATGTACTATTCTAGTTGGACACTTTCCTGGTAACGTTTTGTTAAAATAATGTATTTTAAATAATGTTATTTATAATAAGATATTTCATTTTATGAAATATTGTTAAAGTGGAAAAGGTTTTGATGAGGTATTGTTAGTTTAGGGTCCCTCAGTGGCACAGCGGCATGTCTGCGGACTTACAACGCTAGAAACCAGGTTTGATGAGGTATTGTTAGTTTAGGGTCCCTCAGTGGCACAGCGGCATGTCTGCGGACTTACAACGCTAGAAACCAGGTTTTGATACCCGTGGTGGACAGTGTACAGATAGCTCATTCTGTACCTTTCTGATTAAACTACAAACAAACAAAAATGTTAGAGTAGAATATCTTTTTTTTATGACGTTCTGTCAAAGTGAAACACGTTTCCAGTGGATGGTTGTCAACTTAACAAACTTCTTTGTTATGCATATTGTAAAAGTGGGACATTTCTGAGATGGCTTATTGTTAGAGTCGGATACTTCGTTTGTGACGTACTGTTAAAATGGAACACTTCTCTGCTGGCTTATTGCTAGAATAAGATATTTTCTTCGTAGCGTATTGTTGAAATGAAGTATTTCCCTGATAGCTTATTCTTAGATTTGAATACTTTGTTCGAAACCTATTGTGAAAATGAAACATTTCTTTGATAACTTCTTGTTAGACTAGGACATTTCTTTCATGATCAGCTGTTAAGATGAGACATTTCTTTCACGGTTTATTGTTAAAGTAGGGTACCTCTTTCGCAACTTACTGTTAAAGTATATCATTTCTATGATGGTTCATTGTTATGGTAAGATACTTTGTTCATGGAGTACTGGTAAATTGTGAAATTTTTCTACTCGCTTATTGTCTGCGTATGATACTTTGATCGTAAAGTATTGTTAAAGTAGGATACCTCTTTCGCAACTTACTGCTAAAGTGTAACATTTCTATGATGGTTCATTGTTAAAGTAGGGTACCTCTTTCGCAACTTACTGCTAAAGTGTAATATTTCTATGATGGTTCATTGTTATGGTAAGATACTTTCTACTCGCTTATTGTCTGCGTATGATACTTTGATCGTAAAGTATTGTTAAAGTAGGATATTTCTTTGATGGCCTATTATTTGAGTATGATACTTCTTTGGTAATGAACTGTTAAAACGGGACATTCATATATTTGATTCTTATTAGTTCACAACGTTTCTTTGGTGACGTGAGCCACAATTTTTTGTCATCTACTTTTCATGTAGGTTCTGGAACAATTGAAGAATTATACACAACAATGGTATCCGATCTTCGACAAACCTGTCCTGTCAATCAACTGGTTTCTGCCTACAGTAGGAACGTGAATGCCTCCGTATATCGTTATATAGTTACTTCGCAGCCGTCGACATCCGTAAGTACCTATATTTTCTAACATATCAAATACGGTAAGGCTTTATATGAGGAGAGTGATACAGATAAAAGCGGATTCGCATTGATCAAAGTTAAATCAAAGATGATTGATTACTTAAACAACGTACTATGAAATTAAGATGATATTATTAACATTTTTGTGATTAGGTAATTAGTAACGATGAAGAGATGCCAGTAGAAGAAGAATTATTCTTCTGAAGAAAAATCTAACCTTACGTAAATTATAACAACTTATTTCGTTGGTAATTCAAAGTCTCCAGCATTTATACACATGACTTTTCTAGATAAAGTTTCTGTTATATATAAGACTAATCTATTCAGTTTTAACTATAAAATGAGTTGAATTGCCTGCATAAGTGAATATATTATAATAATAATTTAGAATTTGCAGTTGAAATCGTTTTTGCTCTTCCAAAACACGATGTGTTAGAAAATGTGTTCATTGTGTAGTTGTTAATAACATCATCCTATTTTCACTTTTGCTCAACTTATAACTATTTTGTTAGCTTGCTTAGCTTTAAGAAGAAAATAGTTAAATTGCCGCTTTTATGATTATTTAACGTTTATTAGAATTATGGCGTTTTCTTATTCATCATTCTGAAGATCGCATGACAAATAATAAATAAAGGAGGGTGACTGACATTATTTCATATTTTTTTCACCTTGTCCTACCTAAAAATATTACTATTTTCAATTATCCTTCAATCGTTTTTTGCAGTATATATAAATATTCTATCAATAGATTAATTTCTAGACTTCATTAAAATGTATTATTATTATCTTTTCATCACCTTTGGCTTCAGATATAAACGATCTTCAAAATTATTATCATTACAAACAAATTATGAGTGGGTGGGTGTATAATTTTAATGGTGAATCCCGTCATTTGGTTTAAGAGCAGCCACGTGAAATGCAGCAAGTGCTTTCAGATAGCTACTTTTACTGTAACAAAAGACACAAGCTATTACTTGGACATTTCCTTTTACAAGAGCAAAAGACCCTGTCCATCACTGAGATATTAACTTTTACGACAACAAAAGATACTAGCTATTACTAAGATATGAAATATTACTGTGATTGTGGCCGAAATTATCGATAACGGTGAGAGTACCTATGGGATAAATAAGTGCATTCCAGGCATTATAAGTTTTTGTTTTATGGTATTGCGTACTCCTTTTTAGACCGGTATGTTAAATCAGTTTAATTACTTACCGAGTTAGAAGTTAACTCTGATCTATGTAGGTAGCTTGTTTTGATCAGAAGTTATTGATAGTTTAATATCTAAGTAGATTCTGATCTCAACTGAAACTTCGATATAATATCCTTGCATAATGCATTTCCGAATCGTGTATATATATATTTGAAATGCTATTTGAACACTATTATGTTTCATGGGAATTTTTTAACACACTATGAATTCTGGTGGGTTTATACAATAATCTTTTTTTTTTTTTCAGGTTAAGTCTTACGATTATGAAGCTCTCTACAGCTTTCACCTCTGGGATGTTATTGCATTTTTTGACCAGCTTCAATATTACATTGAGAATCCCAGTGAAGAAGATTACGCTTTCAGAGATCTTGTAGGTGACATTGTAATGAATTTCGTGAAGTCAGACAATTTAACAGCTGAATATCCTGAATGGTTGAACTTTCCTAAATCGGTTGCGTTATTAGCTGAAAATATTTCTGTCGTAGACAACTATCATTCCACTCAGTGTAAGTTTTGGAAAGTGCAAGGCTTGACAAGATATGCCTGGGTAAGTTAGAGCTGGTAGCTTGGTTCCCGCATTGTGAAGGAATTTCAGAATATAGGAAAGAACTATTAATCAAGATTTCCACCATTCAAGAAAGCAACTGAAAACTTACTTTTATTACTTGTCAGTCGATTACATAATACTTGAATATAAGTCAAAGAAGGTGGTACTTGAAAGGACAGTTACTTGTATTTTTGCTTAGAAAAAGGGAGAGGGAAATCATAAATATCGCATGCCTACCTATAGTTCAAGCACTTTCATTTTATATGTGTAGTAAAACTGTCGTTTTGAAAAGTGTTTCTATAATTCTACTTCCTAGTTCTTTAAAACTGATGTCTCTCCGTCCCTTGTAAAGCGCTCAGAAAAGAACTAAAACGAAGCTTTGTGTTTTACTTCAACCGGTTACTCAGTTTCTTTACATCTCTCATGTCACGTAAATCAGATTTTTCCTATTAGAACCCCCACATGTGTTATATACCGAGCGTACAGGCAACGTTTACACATTTCATTAGATTTTTCATAGCTTTAGCTAATAAATAAGCGATGTATAAATCACTTAAAGCGGCGTATCTCATGTGATTTTTAAAAACTGTTGCTTATTTAATGGTCTTCAAATGTACTGCAAAAGGTGTTGTAATTTGCTATATTCTTATCAATCTACTGAATACAAGTACTTACTGAACGATGCCGAACCGTTAGTTGAAATTAGTTCCACACCATACACACTGACAAAGCAAATAAGCTACTCTTAAGATCCACGATACGCATCATCAATTATTCTGAAAATTACCATATTCGCCATGTAAAGTTCACGCCTGTATTAATGAAACTGAATACAACTGGGTTTTGTGCGTCATCACGTCACCAAATATAACTACAGAGTGTTGATTTACGGCCAGTCTTTGCTAAAGTATTTCCAGGATGTAGATACAGTTGTTTAATGTAAAAGTGGCCAACATACGACTATGTCAGTTCTTGAAAATGCTTTTTGAAAATAAAAAAATAGCATAGTATAAGACAAAATTAAATGTACGCATATAAATACATACAAAGAGAGAGAGAGGAACCACGTCTGTATGGTAGATATTTCATAAAGTAGTATCTTATTATACAAAGGTCCATACGTAAAACTCCGAATTGTTGTCCTTCTTGTTCATTGTTATTATTATTATTTTTGCGCTCGCTACGTTTAAAAAGTGTGATTGAATGTTATTTCTTAAGCTTAAATAGCTTGTTTTAACATGTTTTGACACTATGTGGTCTTTTAAGTAAGTCCAATCTACAGCCTACTTACTGTAGGCAGAAAGAAAAAACAACAACAAAAACGTATAAACTATATCTTAAAACCAATTTACTGTTTTATATTTAGTAAAATTTGCAAAAATGTGTATTTAGAATCCCGAGTAAAATATTGTGATCTCAACTGTAGACAAAATATGAGAACATGGTACACAGTTTATAAGTGAACACGTTTTAAACAGAAATCAATCAGTTTCTTCTATCTTTGTACCTTGGTTTCATGAATAAAACCATCCATTTTAATCTCTAACTCATTCTGAGTGTATACTTTTAAAATGACGACAATTACATTGGTGGAACTATAATTTGACTTCCACAAAATTTCGGTTTTGTTTCCATTATTGGTTTATTAATTTAGTAAATATTATCTCAAAAAAACATGTATATTTATTTCCACTCCTGGAACAAAATTTTGAATTCAATAAAATTTAGTGGTTTAATAATTTATTCAAATGTAATTTCTCCTTGTGCTGTGCCATTACATAATCCATTATTAAAAACAAAATAGCTGATCAAATGAATCGTTGCGTTTTGTTTTGTACTGGGCAAACTAAACTTTACATAAAACAAAACAACCAATCAAACGAACTTTTAAATTTTATTCTGTGGTAGTTAGAGAGTTTGATTTACAACCTGTAGGTCGCGGGCTCGAATCCTGTTATCGAACATGCTCGCCCTTTCAACCGTGGGGGAGTTGCAGTGTGACGGTCAATTCCACTTTTCGTTGGTAAAAGGAAACCCAAGAGTTGCGATGGGTGGTGTTGACTAGCTGTCTTCTCTCTATTTCTCACTTCAAAATTAGGGACGACTAGCATAGATAGTACCTCGAGCATCTTTGTGCGAAATTTCACAAAACAAACAAAACAAGTTAACTATTTCATAACCCACCACTAATTAAATCAAATGAACTTGTACTGTGCTAACAACTGCACAATGCACCATTTAAAGCAACTTATCAAATAAAATGAATTGTCAAGTTTTATATTTCGTCTTTCTGAAAATGATAACATTACAATGACCTTTTAGTCCTCCAGAAACTATAGCGCTGTGTTATCATTCATCTTCGGAATGAAAAGCGTACGAAAGTGGTTTCTTAAAGTAGATTTGGTCAACATAGCTAAGTTTCTTTATTAATACATTTGGTCAACATAACTAAGTTTCTTTATTAATACATTTGGTCAACATAACTAAGTGAAATTATTAATCACTCAGGAACTTCTAAATAAATGTTATATTTCACTTTCATAAATTCGACTCGAATACTAAGATTACAAGTCTACAGCATCGTAATATTTCCTGACAATTTTTCTGGCTCAGAAAAGCTACAAAAAAGTTGTGTTTTATGCTGTTAACATTGTAACTAGAGAATGGATTTATAATAGTCTGTGTTATTTCATTTAGGTCTAAGAACAATTGAAAAAGATAAACCAATGTTAACTGCAAAAGTTTTTCCTACAGATTTTGCCTGAGCGTAATTCAGAAGTTAGCATTACGTACTTTGGATCTGCGAGTCTATTGTTTGCATTTCGTTACCACAATATATATAGCATTCTACACTTTTCGGCCGTGGGTGCGTTATAACAACGACGGTCAAATCCTACTATTCGGTCAGACAAGCGCCTACTTAAAGAGTGCTGTTGACTATCTTCCTTCCAGTCTACTAAGTAAACATTAGAGTCAGCTTGCACAGATAAACTTGTAGTAGTTTTGGGTGGATATCTGAAAACAAATAAAACCTTAAAACTTACAATATGACATTTTTATATCAATATTATACCATATATTATCGACTCACAACTTTTTAACTTACACAGAATATATTTACCGGTTGCATAGTATAGTAAAATATGACATAATAGAATTTCATATGAAAAACATGTCTCTCAGCGAAACATGCCCATGTTGAAAGTTTATTGAAATTATATTATGCGGTATGCACTTTTATTGATCCTTTGATAATAAGATTATGCGGGATATGACAGACACTTCTGGATGCAGTTTTACTGATTCTTTAATAATTAGATTATGCGATATGAGAGATACACTTCTGGGTGCACTTTTACTTAATCTTTAGTTATGCGGTAGGACAGACACATCTGGGCGCACTTTTACTGATTCTTTAGTATTTCGTGACTTTTTCACTCAAGGTGAAAAGGTTCAACCTATATAGTCTAGAATTTAAGAAAATATTTGTCTTTTGATGTGATGTAAATTTCTCTAGTTGTTCATTTGAACGTCAAGCACACGGGAAGTTGTAAAAACTTTAATGAGGAAAAATACCTGTTAAAAGTATAATTTATTAGTTAATTATTCGCAGAGAAGCGGTTAATCTTTTTATATACTCTTGTTAATTAAACTTTGTAAAAGAAAAACCTTGACGTGCTTTTATTTTTAAGATATAGTTAAGAAAGTTTAATATATTTGATAAAAAACAAAAATAGCTAACTGGAGACAAACTCGACAGCACTTACCTTAGAATAATATTTTGCTCTAAGTCTCAGCATCTTGCTGAAACAGATAGAAGAGTAAAGATTTGGTGCATCATTCACTTGACCGAATAGTGTTTGTCTGAATGTATGTGTATGTACATTAAAGAAGAGTGGCAGGTTGATAGATCGCCTGTCAATAGAAACATTTTGAAGAGAAGACCAAGACTGCCAAAAGCAGGAATGGCTTGGGATCACAGATGGGTAGACAATGGAATTGCTATTGCTCTTCGTTCGTTACAAGTTTCTTGGTTCACTGTTCACCAAGGAGCTTGTCTGATAACACGTCACACGCTTCAGTACTCCATCAGGATTCACCCAAGGACAGTGGCTTTAGAAGTAATTTTTCTAAAGCTCTTTCTCTGTGTGAATAATACACTTATATAAATGCTTTTTGATAGAAATACTACATAGAACGTTATTTTATATATATAATAATAATATCATATCAATAAAACTTAACTTCAGTAATAGCATATCAAATCATATTTTTCATGATTAGTGTTCTAATTAGCATATAAAACAGTAAGTACATACCGCTCACTTATCCGTCTAAATACGAATAGTCTAAAATATTAAATAGCTAATATTTTGTAGTTACAAATTTCTACAATCCAGTAAATAACTTAACTGAAGTTAGATTATATTTTAGGAGAATCATTTACCCAGAGAATGAAGTTGTATAATCAGTTGCATTGACAATATATCGCTAACAATGTCTCTTGAAATATGAGCATCCTAAAATTCAAAGTTGTTAAAGTTTGAGTCTAATTGGATCAACTTGTCTTAAATAAGCATATTTGGCAAAACAAAAGACATACTCTGTACTGAGTATGGGTCATACAATCTATGTATCTGTGAGGTATATTTCTGATCAGTTGGAATCGTTGTGGAGGACTCTTCAGCTATTCCTGAATTAGTACCATGTCTAAACGTCAGCATAGATCTTTAATGATCTTTAAGCATCTGATTAGTCCATCACAATCTTAGCAATATCACAAAAGGTATTCTTCTGCATCAGAACAAAGTCTGGTTCGATTCCCCCGCGAAAGACCATACTAGAGGGTATAATACCGCGTCAGTACGTCGTCCAGTAGTAAATATATCATTCGAAAACACACAATGTACGTACACCCGTTCATACTAATGCCTCACCACACCATAACTGTACCTGAACATAGACAGTAATATTAAGTTACGTTTAACAAAATATATCGTTCAACTCTTGTATCTCCAAGCACAATCCCGTATACTTCTGTGGAGACATGAATCCTTGAATAATCCGTGAAGAATTAGGTTGTTTTCGATTCTTGTGATCTCGACATAAGTCCAAGCCAGCTGCTCAAGGCTGAAATAGTTCTGATTTGTCATAAACCACATTCTTGACGTTTACTTGCTAACGTTTGATCATAGATAATTACTTTAATTGCTGTTCAAAACTCCCTACTAAGTTCATGGACAATTAACTGGTGATTCTTAAGTTACACCTCGTGCAAGTATCGGTTACTTTGTAGCCTATTTAACCTTCAGTGGCTTTGTGCATGTTTGTACTGTCCAAACCAATTGTTTGTTATCATGTTCACAACTTCCATACTATAATCTAGATATACCAAAATCAGTTGACCCTTGCATTTCAGATGTTCTAGTTTCCAACCACAATAATAATTCTAACAGTCTGTACTTTAATCAGAAAACCTCTGCTCGTCACTCAATTATAAGAAAACATAACCAACAGTAAAACGATCTCCAAAACAGCGAATCAACAAATTACTTATTCTGAGTTATGTATCTTCTATTGTACTATATAATCTCACAATCCTCTATTATTTATCTTTTCTTATGCAGCTTTTAATTTTCTTCTCTCTTAATGTTACCACATCCCACAAAGCAACAGGAATACACTTCGTGATTCAAGGATTTAACTTGATAAACGTTCTTAAGATTCTTTTCAACTATTGGAATAATTAGGGCTCAGGCGGTTTCAATAACTCATAGACAAACTCTGGTAAGAAAAGATTTAATCAAGTTGAAATTCAGCCTCTTACTCAATAAAAGGAAATGAATCCTTAGTGGTGAAATATTTAACTAAGTTCAAATCGAACCTTTCATGCCTGACAAAGTTCTGAGTGGATCTTGATTGTTAATTTCCACAATTTCTCCAGAAATAACCAAAGACCAACTTTTCTACACAATCAAAAGTTACAGGAAATGTAATTAATATAAGTAATTATTTCTAATTTTATCAATATTAGTAGACTGGAAGATAGAATATTCAATTATAATATAATCATAAACTGTAATCAAAATAACGACTTATAACGTAAAGCGGATATATAGGTATAAAACATAGTACGTACATGGAATACGTGTTGTATTGATACATTATTTGTTCAGTCTCCATCGTAAACAGTGTTTTTGTCTTTAATTATCAAGGAAAAATATCAAAATAGACACATAAAATGTTATATTTAACAGTTCTCATTCAATATTAAATAGATATCTAAAATATATATATATATATATATATATCCGAATATATATGGCCATCGTAAACAGTGTTTTCGTCTTTAATTATCAAGGGAAAATATCAAAATAGACACATAAAATGTTATATTTAACACTTCTCATTCAATATTAAACAGATATATAAAAATAAACACATTTCCAAAATGTAACTCCATATTTTTAATGTCAACTCATATTTTGTGTTTGGTAGATATCTTATAAGCTTTGGAATCCTGCAAAAACTGTATGTTACTACCCA